ACTCCGGGTGTCCAATTGGGTGGGTGGAACCGTCCAATTTGCCTTTAAACAACCAATTTACTGGTTTACAACTTTCACCGATTTCATTAATTCAAGCCTACCACTCACATTTATGACAGAAAATAATGATCATATATGGTTCCAAACGACATTATATGACCCCGAGATGTATTCCATAAAAAAAAGACTTTTTGACAACAGTCCCTGAAACCTTCATAATTTCTTAAAAAGCATGGATATTTGCCTTAAATTTTGGAATTTGTTGACTTTTTACCGCCCGGAAATAAAACTTGTCGAAATGGTTACCATGGTCCCTAATACCCTCCGAGAGTCAAATTGGGTGGGTTGATCCATCCAATTTGCCTTTAAACGACCAATTTACCGGTTTACAAATTACACCGATTTCATTAACTCAAGCCTAGCACGAACATTTATGGCAACAAATAAAGATCACATTTGTTCCAACTTCCAAACGACATTATATGACCCCCGAGATGTATTTCCCAGAATTTCAAGAATTTTCGAAATCGTGCCCTGAAGACTTCAAAAATTCTCAAAAAGCGTGGAAATTAGTCTTCAATTTTGGAATTTTTTGACTTTTATTCGCCCGAAGTTTTAAATTGATGAAATGTTTACCATGGTCCCAAATACCCCAGGGGAGTCTAATTAGGTGGGTGGAACCGTCCAATTTGCCTATAAACGACCAATTTACCGGTTTACAACTTGCACCGATTTCATTATCTCAAGACAACCACGAACATTTATGACAACAAATAATGATCATATATGGTTCCTAATGGTACTATATGACCCACAGATGTATTCCCAAGAATTTCAAGAATTTTCGAAATTGGGCCCCAAACACTCCAAAAATTCTCAAAAATCGTGGATATATATTAGCCTTCCATTTGGAATTTTTTGACTTTTTTTCGCCTGGACATAAAAATTGTCGAAATTTTTACCATGGTCCCAAATACCCTCTGGGAGTCCAATTGGGTGGGTGGAACCATCCCATTTGCCTTTAAACGACCAATTTACCGGTTTACAAATTACACCAATTTCATTAATTCAAGCCTACCACGAACATTTATGACAATAAATAATGGCCATATATGGTTCCAAACGACATTATATAGTCCCGAGAATTATTTCCTAGAATTTTAAGAATTTATAAAATCGGGCCCCGAATACTCCAAAAATTCTCAAAAAGCGTGGATATTAGCCTTCAATTGTGGAATTTTTTGACTTTTTTCGCCCGGAAATAAAAATTGCCGAAATGCTTACCATGGTCCCAAATACCCTCTAGGAGTCCAATTGGGTTGGTGGAACCGTCCAATTTGTCTTTAAACGTCCAATTTACAGGTTCACAACTTGCACCGATTTCATTAATTCAAGCCAACCACAAACATTTATGACAACAAATAATGTGCATATATCATTCCAAAAGGCATTATATGACCCCGAGATTTATCTTATAGAATTTCTAGACTTTTCGACACCGTGCCCCCGAAACCTCCAAAATTTCTCAAAAAGCGTGGATATTATCCTTCAATTTTGGAATTTTTTGACTTTATTTCGGATGGAAATAAAAATTGCCGAAATATTTTTCATGGTCTCTAATACCCTCCAGGAGTCCCATTGGGTGGGTAGAACCATCCAATTTTCCTTTAAACGATCAATTTACCGGTTTACAACTTGAACCGATTTCTTTAATTCAAGCCTACCACGAACATTTATGGCAACAAATAATGATCATATATGGTTTCAAATAGCATTATATGACCCCGTGATGTATTCCCTAAAATTTCAAGACTTTTCAACACCGGACCCTGAAACCTCCAAAATTTCTCAAAAAGTGTTCAATTTTGGAATTTTTTGACTTTTTTCGCCCGGAATTAAAAATTGTCAAAATATTTTTCATGGTTTTTAATATCCTCCGAAAGTCCAATTGGCTTGGTGGAACCATCCAATTTGCCTTTAAACGGCCAATTTAATTACCATTTTACCACTTGCATAGATTTCGTTAACTCAAGCCTACTATGAACATGTATGACAAATTGACAACATATAATGATCATATATGGTTCCAAACGACATTATATGACCCCGAGATGTGTCCCCTAAAATAATAATACTTTTCTACTCTGGGCCCCGAAATCTCTAAAATTTCTCAAAAAGCGTGGATACTAAGCCTTCAATTTTGAAAATTTTGACTTTTATTTCACCCGAAAATAAAAATTGTCGAAATATTTCTCATGGTCCCTAATATCCCCTGGAAGTCCCATTGGGTGGGTGGAACCATCCAATTTTCCTTTAAACGACCAATTTAATGGTTTACAACTTACACTGATTTCATTAATTCAAGTCTACCACGAACATTTATGACAACAAATAATGATCATATATGGTTTCAAACGGCATTATATAATTTCGAGATGTATCCCATTGAATCTCAATACTTTTCGACATCGAGCCCTGAAACCTCCAAAATTTCTCAAAAAAGGTGGATATTAGCCTTCAATTTTGGAATTTTTTTCGTCCGGAAATAAAAATTGCCGAAAAGTTTACCATGGTCCCTAATACCCTTCGGGAGTCCAATTGGGTGTGTGGAACCATTCAATTTGCTTCTAAACGGCCAATTTACCGGTTTACAACTTGCACCGATTTACCAGTTTACAACAACTAATTTAATTAAATTGCACCGAACCCGACTTGAATCGAAATTGACCTAAACCCGTTTTAACATGTAAAAACCCGAATTTAACCTGACTTGTTACGAACCTGACCTCAATTCCACTCGACTCGTTCCTAACCTGACCTGAATTTAACCCAACCTGTTACAAACCCGACCCGAAATCAACCTGACTTGTTATTGACCCGACCTGAATTTTACCATACCTATTACTTACCCAACCCAAAAATTAAACCCGATATGTTACTAACCCGAATCAAAATTAACACGACTTGTTATTGACACGACCTAAATTCAATCCAAATTGTTTCTGACCCGATTTCAAATAACCTTAAATGCAATTTAGACCAACTTATTATTGTTGATCAAAGCATTTTGTCTTGGGAGACCAAGTCGGTCCAGGCCAGCTAAAGAAAGGAGCATCATCTTCAAATTTAATTTAAATATAGTATATATTTATTGTATGGTCAAAGGAGATAATTATCTTCCGAAATTATAGACTATAGTTCCGTATTATATTGCCATATATATTATAGTCAAAGGAAATAATTAGCTTGATAAAAATGATAATTATTTATTTATAGTTAGTTGAACCAGAATATGACCTGACTTGGAAATGACCCGACCTGATTGTAACCTGCAAATTATGGACTTAAACATAACCCGACTTGAATCCGAGAATGACCCGACTTGGAAATGACCAAAACATATTATAACCCGCAAATTATTGACTTGAACCGAAACTGACTTGAATCCGAGAATGACCCGACTTTAAAATGACCCGACCTGATTATAATCCACAAATTATTGACTTGAACCAAACCCGAATCAAACCCGAGAATGACTCGACCTAATTCTAACCCGCAAATTATTTACTTGAACTGAACCTGACTCAAACCCGAGAATTACCCTAACCCGTTTTAACCCGTGAAATCCCGAATTAAACCCGACCCAAACCCGATAAGAAGCATGACCCGACGTGACCCAACTCAAGCATGACCCAACCCAAACTTGACCCGCATAGGTTATGGAATTAATCTGTATTGACCCGACCCGACCCGAGTTGATCGGACCCAAACCCGACCAGTTTACCCAAATTGACAGCTCTAGTAGGAGTGAGATTTTCGGTTAGCACGTCAGGTTCGGGTCAGATTTCGAATCAATTTTAATTTATGCTTAAAAACTAGTTGTATTAAAACTAGTATAAAAGTTAACATTATTACACATAATAAGATATTTGGGTTAAATCGGGTCAAATTCAAATTGTTGGGGTTTGATTCAGGTCGGGTTTTCGGGTTGAATCAAAGATTGCCACCCCGATTTCATAGCTTAAATCTGGCATTTTTTTTGTTGCATATTTTGACATTTTGAATAAGTGAAGTGTGTTTGCAACAACTTATGAGCAGGCCCATGGAAGATTTATAGTCAAAGCATTCAACACATATATCATGACCATTGTTTTGGCAAGTCGAGCAATTATTACTCGCTAATAAATTAGTGAAAAGTTATAATAACTCTATTTTATTTTTCTTGTATTTAATGTATTAGGAGTTCTTTTTATGAGTAAGGTTATTATGTTGAATTCATATTTTATTTAAACGTTTAAGATTATATTATGTCGTGTTGTGTTGTAATTTGCCAAAACTATATAGAAGTGGAATTTATAGATATATCAATAATATCATTAGCAAACATGACATTATAGAAAGATTATTATACTACTCGAGTACATGCTATTATGTTAGAGAGTAAGGCCATGAGGGTATGTAGATGTCAAGTTACCTAAAATATTGTCAAATTATGTTTACATCACTAATTGATGCTATGTATTGAGGGATTTCTTTAATCAAAAGCTCATTTTTTATATTAACGATCTTAGTTATTGTACATAATAAACTTTCATTAAGATTATCATGATGAAGTCTAATTATCCACGATACATGATTAGCAGTTTAACAACTTAGTTGCACCACAATTTCAAAGCTTACACTAGTCATTTAGGATAGATCATACAAAGTAAGCCCATATTTTTCTAACTGATATTCATGGTCATTCATGAAGTGGTGCCTCTAGTTAGTTTCAAAAGTTTTGTCATTTGACCATTGGAAAGTGGAAACCAACATTTATATCTCCCTTCTATCTTGTTTCCTTTGTATTTTGGAAATCCATAATTAAAAATGAAAAAAGTCCCAACACTTCATTCCTTTATTATGGAGTACAATTGTACATAATACAACATTTAAAAGTCATACACTCTGACACACATAATTTTTTTTTTATGCATACATTGAGATTAAGTCAGCATATAACATAATGATAACTCCTTAATTTTATTGTATACAACAAAAGAAGAGTGAGAATGGGTTGAATTCTCACTTTTCATACTTGCTAAAAGAAAACCTCATACTGTATAATTTACATGAATGTCAATCAATTATTTGTTAGTTGTTCATATAAACTTGGTATATAGTAGTATATCATCGATCTTTTTTAAACCACTTAAGTATAAGGTATAGTTGGAACGTCAGGCAATAGATTGCAAATGCCACCAAGATACAAACTTGAACCCACACATTGGATTTGAATGCTTCAGAAACAGAAGAATTCCAGAGCCATAACCACGCTACTGAAAAACAGGAGCCCAAGACAACACCAACTATCACCTGGTTCATCGTGTGGAATTTTTGTGAGACTCGTAGCCACGACTGCACAATTGATCCCAAAGAGAAACTTGGATAATTTGTTCGTAAAAAATATTATAACAGCCAAAATGCACAACTTTGAGTTCAAAACAATAGGGTCAATTCAAGTAGGTGTTATGGTTCTTACAAGATATGAACCAAACACGAAAGTAACAGCAGCAAAAACCACGGTGATTTCGTTCACACCAAGCCAATGAAACACTGCATGCATATACAACACAGATTATAAGTCATAATAATAGAAAGAACAATAAAACAAAGCAGCGACATACTGATAGATATCAAACAACAAAGTATGTAATCAACTCAAGACATAAATAAGGTTGAAGTAAATTACTTGATAAAATGAAATACATGACAGTAAAAGAGATATATTGCCCATGGGAAGACGGCATGCCAGGGTCCGATCTCATGTTTCTAGTCGGTCGCTCTTGATTCAATATCCTTTTCAAAGCAAAACACAGCAATGAGTTCAGGACAGAACCTATGGTAGCCCACACAACTTCACCATCATGTCTCCAAAGGAATACAGCAGCAAATATAACTAATATCACCCATTTGCTCTGCATATCATTGCAACAATCGAGTAAGTAAGTTACTTGTACTAATCACAAATCCAATGATATTACATCCATATAAACATTTTTCTATGCATTAATATTGCCTTTTTTCTCAATCAAAACAAATTCATAATAACAACGAACATAGAGTAATATATACATCTGCCGTCATTTAATTATGGTAAAGTTAGCACTTTTGAGTTTTGACAATTTCTTTTTAAGAAAATAAAAATGCTGACCAAACGGTTGAGAGTGGATTCAAATTCAGGAGAAAGAAGAAAAGAGCGAAATTTGGAAGACCCATCAAGTGACTCCTCATGCTCAAGAACACTGATGTTTTTTTCAACATCCTCTTGTTAGTAAATAAGCAAATATAAAACGATAAATACTTATCTCAACGTTGTGTAGACCAAATTGATAATTGTCGCGTTGTGGAGAACCACTAACCTAAAAGACGATTCCGCGCTACCTCCCGGTGCAGTAGACTAGAAGCGGTCGTCCTCCAGGATAAGCACGGCGCCGGAGTTTATGTGCACTCACAAACCCGACCGGAACCAAAATACTTGCCCAAAATCCGAAGGGATAAATTTAGAGAGGGTAAAAGATAGCTGATTTTTGTATATCTTCATAGCTTGTGAAAGCACAAATATATATAGCCAAAAGAAGGGTAACGTGCAACATGAAAAAGGCAACAACTAGCTTGATTTAAGGAGAAATGGCAGCCATAAAGAGCATTAACATTTTGCCATTAAACCACCCATTAAACAGCTAACAATTGGGGAATCAACCCCAACAGTCCATAATTATTGTGTTTGATCACAACTTTCCAAAACAAGATCAAGCCAAAGAAGAGAAGACATAACTGAAAGATAGATATCAATGTGAGACTTTATCACATTTATTTTCCCTCTCCTTTCTTTGTGTTTCACTCAAGAATTTCCAACAATCCCCCACAAGTTCGAAGAGGTGAAAAGAAAGAAAGAGAGAAAATTGGTTTTTGGGCAAAACAAAACAATTGCATAAGTGCCAATGTCTCGCGACTTGAATTAACACATAGTGGACATCAAGCTATGATCCCTGACCTACCAAGTAACCTTCGTCTTGAACTTAATAGGGAGTTAGGGACCCGTCATTTTGAGCCACACAATAGAACATGTATAATATTCTGAAATTCCGCGAATAAAGGTGACGCATTATACTGACCATACGTCCAGCCTGGATGCTCATAGGTGATCTAGAGTATAAGCCCACGAAATACTCATAGGAAGCGGCCACACTTCCACACCTAAGTAAGTGAACTCCATCAAGTGTGAGCTACAACACACCTCCAAAAATATGGATATGGGTTCATTAAGAGTCGTATGCTCAACCTCCTTATCATTTGTAGCTAAGCACAAACAAACATCTAGATATGGACAAATAAAATAAAACTGTGCTTCCGAATTATTAAATAATGTTCCTCTTTGAACTCATGGTGAGTAGGAGTTCATTACTTCACAATTCATACAACGGGCTTTAGCCCCATCTCTTCCGATGTTTCCAAAACTAGTTTTATACACAGGCCTTTATTAGTTAACGGATCCTTAACATTCCTTTTAGACTTTTATGTAGTCTAGTGATATCACCCCATTCGACAAATCATTTTTGACATCAACCATTATAGGCATGTTTCAATCAAAAGTAACCACAACTTGCAAATCACAACAAATTCCCCTACTAGGATATTTGCAAGCACATTTGCTCATAAGAGCCATATAATCTTGACTATCTTGCCTCATAACCTGTCAATTTAAGAGAAATAAATTAGATTTTTCCAAAACAAACATAGCAAAACAAGGTTGCTTTGCACAATTCCAAAAAATAGCTATGGAACCACTTGAGTTTGAAATCATTGTCGAACTTCAAAACCTCATGGAAACTTCTTGCAATAGTGCAAACTCTTATCTTTTGTACTTTTCAAGTACCTATGGAACCTTCTCAAAATTATCTATGGACACAAATTGCTCCTATATAATTAATAAATTCAAAAAAAAAAAAAAATTATCTGAGCAATGACTCATCCAAATCACAAGTTTAACCTTACAAAAAAAAATTCCAGCAAAACTCAAATGTATTAACAACAAAATCCATAGAAGAAATATCAAGCATTACAATCCTAAGGAAAAGATTGTAGAATTCTACACATAGTTAGACATAACCTAACTCATAATCAAGGACTTCTTCCATGAAAATAATCACTCATGATATTCCACTGATTTAAAGTTAATACTCTAAAGACATAGAGATACCAAAACAAACTTGTAAGGAAAACTCAATCATAAACCATCTTTAGCTCAATTAACCACTTTTAGGCTTTGCATTAAACAATTGAAAATTCTAACATTAATGCCTCTCATTCCTACTAGTTTCAAGTAATCCAGCTTGGATATCCAACCACTTGAAACATAGTAATAATACACATATATGCTCAAAGACAATTTATTCAATAAAGAATCAATTAGGATATGCAATTTATCAAGCAAAAATTAAGCAAGACTTTGAGTCCAACACTGATTCTTTATTACTTCCCCCACATTGGACAACAAAGTCTGATTCAAAACCCTTACCAATGCACCCACATTCTCAATGAATGAAATATTTGGATATAAAAACCTCCTTTCAAAAATCACATGGGGTCTTTATTAATATAGATTTCTTATAAAGAAAACGCATAAGTTTATAAAACATGAACCCCCACATGGAAGGACAAGGTTCAAATACCAAAATAGAGCATACACAAATATATGGTTGAGAAAAATTCACAACTATGTCATAACACTGGGTATAATAACATATAAGGTGGACAAGAGTAGAGATCTTTGTAGCATTGAATTAATCAAAGATAATAATTCAACAACACCTCATAATATTAATCCTCATGCCAACACATGAAATTCAGGGCATTTACAAATTACTCATGCTTTATTCTCAAAGAATTATAACACATTAATGAGTCATAGGCGGTAACAATAAACCATCATAAAATGTTAGAAAATCGTAGTCAATTCCCAAAATACTTTACTCGAAAGTTCTCCAAAGAGAAAGTCATATAACATCCTTAAAGAAAAATTATCACATAATTTCCCTTCACAAAGCTCAACAAGTTTAAGAATTATAAATTCTACACTTACATGTTAAACCGAGAATAAAGTAATGAAATCAATTGAGTTATGAATAAAGCTTCTTAATACGAGTATTGCATATCATGGATTCAAAAAATTGACATAATACGTCTCAACTCCATGCTCAACACATACATGAATCATGATAAAAGTAGTACACGGAGTACATACATGCACCTCAAAAATATGTTAAAAAACATTGCTCAAAGCATCCTACTAAATAGATATTTAAATCAATAGAGTTAATCTCCAAGGACCAAATTCAATCCACAAAATGTAGAACCAATAAATTATAGGTAACTACATATATGCAATACATTGTCATACTCATAAAAATAGACAGATTACCTCTTACTTTCTAATAATCATTCAACAAATATTTATTTGACAAATTGAACATTCAACATAGTTCGTCAACAACCACAAAAGCATATATTTGTTGTTAAGATGATTACTAGGAATTAAACCAAATGATAAACATAATAACATGAGACTTGGTTTAGAATGAACCTCCCTCGAACTGAATCTAGTAACATGGGTAAGACCTCTATGAGATACCCAATCATCCTCATTATAAATATGAGCTTCAAGATGCCATCGTAACTACTTCAATTGACTGCTCTCGAAATTCCGTGGACAACAATATAATTGAAATCCCAATATCAATGACTTCCTGACCAACAAAAATGTACAACAACTTTGGCCTCCTCAATAGTTTGGTCAGCAAGAATGACATGGGAATCAGAAGTACCATGCATGAATCACATGATAATTATTAACTATTTAACTTTGTGTATCCCAAATAAAAACTAATAATGCAGACCATTAAGGTTCTAACACATCAACTGTAATCACACCACAATTATCACAAACCAATTAAAGATTAACCCAAAAAACATAATCTAATTAGATGTTACAAATACTTACAGAATATGAAAGCACTACTAAGCCTCAATTAGTCACAGTATACATGCCATAAGTCATAAGTAAAATAAATTTAGTACTAGACATATAGATCATGAAAAAAATCAAATTAAGCAATGTTACACTTTCACAATCGAGTAAAAATTAAATACTCAAAACAACCATAAAGAGAGCTAGAACACTCGGCTAACGATACAAAAATCATATTACAATATTTGCACCAATCGCATGCCGCATTTCGCAATAAAAGAATTAAAGACTACTAAAAAAATCATTGGACATAGAAGCATGATATCAAATAAAAACAAAAAATTATTAGTATTGCTCATGTAAAGAAGCCCAGCAATAAACCAAACAAAATTTCCATTAAGAAAAGTGGAGAACTGATAACAAAATATAAAGGTCCAATTAAATAACATAAGGTATAATCATATACTTCGTAGTATACTCTCACATGCTCATGAGCAACCAAGTGGACATATATAATAAGTCAATGACCAACATATTTGCCATTATATTACTCATTGCAAATAAAATTAACATTCATAATATAACATGGACATAAAGCAATATACTCTACAAGCTTTAGCATTACCCACTAATTAGAAATTGGAGGAAGATCAACCAAATCAGAGAAAATTATAAATCGAAGTATAGAACAAATACTCTATAAACACATAACTAATAACAAGAAGATGGTTCTTTTTTCAATACAACTCATCTCGTCACATACGCAAACAAATGAGCAAAATATGGTCCAAGTAAAACCAAAACCTTATATGATAATTTAAATGATTCAACAAATAAGGAATAACGGAAAAATTCTTTCAGATTAGTCAACTGCGAAATCAAGACCAAACTTTCCATTATACATTATTCACATTATAGCCCTTCTCACAGTAACGGACAACCATCAATTTAATAAATTCTATTCCATGAAATTATTCATCATAGAATTAGTACACAAGTACACAACACAAAATTGATCCAAATAAAACCACATCCTAACTAACATGTGAAAGCTCATAATTCTTAGAATAAAGAATTTGCAATTTCGACATATAAGCAATCATACAATTGGAATCAATAAATCGTCTTTTAGATTGTTAGTAAATAAGCAAATATAAAACGATAAATACTTATCTCAACGTTGTGTAGACCAAATTGATAATTGCCGCGTCGTGGAGAACCACTGACCTAAAAGACGACTCCGCGCTACCTCCCGGTGCAGTAGACTAGAAGCGGTCGCCCTCCAAGATAAGCACGGCGTCGGAGTTTATGTGCACTCACAAACCCGACTGGAACCAGAATACTTGCCCAAAATCCGAAGGGATAAATTTAGAGAGGGTAAAAGATAGCTGATTTTTGTATATCTTCGTAGCTTGTGAAAGCACAAATATATATAGCCAAAAGAAGGGTAACGTGCAACATGAAAAAGGCAACAACTAGCTTGATTTAAGGAGAAATGGCAGCCATAAAGAGCATTAACATTTTGCCATTAAACCACCCATTAAACAGCTAACAATTGGGGAATCAACCCCAACAGTCCATAATTATTGTGTTTGATCACAACTTTCCAAAACGAGATCAAGCCAAAGAAGAGAAGACATAACTGAAAGATAGATATCAATGTGAGACTTTATCACATTTATTTTCCCTCTCCTTTCTTTGTGTTTCACTCGAGAATTTCCAACACCTCTGACTTTAAAGCAGGGATTTTTATCAACTTTTCAGCCATTTTTTCTTTCTTTAACTTCTATTTATGGAAACTACGTAGTTCTAGTATGTGTTTATGTTTATTAAAAAGCAAATCGCAAGAAAGTAGCAATTTTAGGAAGACTAAGAACAATGATTTATGGAAATTGAACAATAATATGGCTTAAAGATAATAATATGGCCTGTTAAGTTAGTATATATATATGTAGACAACTAGACATGTAGTAGTAGTGAAAGAATTGAATTTGCTGGGTCAAAGGATTGGTCTATCAAAATAGGAGAATCAGCAACAACAAAAATAATGTATTAAAAGCTTAAAGATGTTTTAATTGAAGAACAATCAATATCTAAAAGGAAATTTTACATTAAACCACCTTTTATAACACTTTTATTACAAGAAACCACCTTATAAAATTTTTTTCGCAAATACACACCTTAATTGTAAATTTTTTTGCAATCACACACCTTTTCCTGGAAAAAGGCCATTGACTTGGTTTTCAACGGTTGACCCTATTAGGAGATAATCTTGTATATATATTTTGAATTTATCTTTTCCTTATTCTGTTTTAGATAGAATCAATTCTCCTATAATGGAGCCATAATTTTAGGCATAGATTAGGCTATAGTTTAACTTAATTTGTTAAGTTTGTATACTATATATATGGCTGCCAAAAGCCTTGTGAAAATCAATCAATTAACATATTTCTTATATCTCTTATATGGTATCAATCGCCTTTTGATCCAACTTCTCGCTTCCGCTATCACCATGAATGACGGTACCATCCCCAATACTGAAAACCCAGCCACCCCTTTTACAGTAATCAATGTCCAAAATTGCATCAAGCTTACACCCTCGAATTATGTTGCCTGGAAAACTCACCTTCAGGCCACTCTTCTTGGGTACGATGCGTGGAAGTTTGTGGATGGTAGCTTCCCGTCTCCTCCCAAAACAATCACCAAGAACGGCTCTTCTGCGATAAACCCTGCTGCCACAGCCTAGTATCCCCAAGATCGCTTGGTCTTTAGTGCCATTGTAGGTACTCTTTCTCAAAATCTTGTGCCTCTAATCACTCAATCTGCTTCGGCTCATGAGGCTTGGAATATCCTGGCCTCCACCTTTGCTAATCCCTCTCGTGGTCACTTCAAGCAAATCAAGGCTCACCTTGCTCAAATCACGCACACTACTCAAACAATCACCGAGTATATGCAATCAATTAAGCAATGCTCGGATCGACTTGCTGCTATGGGGAAACCTATGGACAATGAAGATCTCATTGACAAAGTTCTAAGTGGCCTTGACTATGATCAATTCAGATCAGTGATTGATGCAGTTAATGCCCGAGATACTCCCATCTCCTTTGAGGAACTTCATGAAAAGCTAATTACCAAAGAACTCACTGTGTTTGTACCTTCACCTCCCTCTTCTTTTCCTGCCTCAGTGAATGCAATGCATCATCGCAAGAACCCCTCCCCAAACCACCAACAATGTCCTATACATCCACCCCACCCTCATCAACCTATGTGCCAAACACTGCAACCCCAACTCCACCTTCTCCTCAACGACCCTTCCTTGGCAAATGTCAATGGTGTCGTACTCAAGGACACTCCTTGACTTACTGCCCCATATTCAAGAACCTATATCCTACTATCCAAGTTCCCACTCCCACCTACAATCGCACTCCCTCTAAGGCTCAAACTCCTTCGTTTCATGCTCCACAAGCCAACGTTGCTACGGCTTCGTCCCCTGCATCAAACTCTTGGCTCCTTGACAGTGGTGCTTCTCATCACGTCACCAATGATTTGGCTAATCTTTCTCTTCATGCTCCCTATGATAGTACGGAGGAATTGATCATAGGAGATGGTTCAACTCTTCCTATTCATCATACTGGTTCTTTCTCTATCTCTACTCCCTCTGCTACTTTTAATTTTTCAAATGTCCTACATGTTCCCTCCATCTCCCGTAATATTTTATCCATTTCTCAGTTTTGTCGAGAAAATAACACCTCTATTGAATTCTTACCCTCTTTGTTTCGTGTGAAGGAGCTTTCGCAGGGGAAGACCCTCCTCCAAGGTCCAACTAAAGCCGGAGTTTATGAATGGCTTCCTAGAGTTCCTCGTGTTTTTGCTTCCACCATCATTCCAAAACACTCTTGGCATCATCGTTTAGGTCACCCATCTAATAAAGTTCTTTAATCTTTAAAATCTAGTTTTAGCCTTCCAATTTCTGATTTTTGTATCAATGGTTGTAATGCTTGCAATATTAATAAAAGCCACAAACTTCCCTTTTATTCGTCTACTCTTAAATCTCATGCTCCATTGGAATTAATTTTCTCAGATCTATGGACTTCTCCTGTATTTTCCCATGACAAATTCAAGTACTATATTATCTTTGTTGATCATTATACCAAGTACATATGGTTTTATCCTCTGAAAAATAAATCGGACACATATAATGTCTTCTTACGTTTTAGGGCTCTAGTTGAGAATTTCTTTAAACGTAAGATTATACAATTTTTTTCCGATAATGGTGGTGAATTTGAAAAACTCACACCTTATTTATCCTCAAATGGAATTTCACATCTCACTTCCCCTCCTCATACTCCGGAACATAATGGCTATGCCGAACGTCGACACCTTCACATTGTTGAAACCGGCTTAGCCCTTCTTTCTCATGCTTCGTTACCCCTCACATTGTGGCCTCATGCCTTGGCCACTGCCACCTATCTAATCAATCGTCTACCCACCAAGACTTTACATAACACCTCTCCTTATCATAAGCTATTCGGTTTTCCACCTAATTATCATAAGCTTCGTGCTTTTGGTTGTCTTTGCTATCCGTGGCTTAAACCCTACACTTCACACAAGCTAGACCCCAAATCCTTACCATGTGTTTTCTTAGGCTATTCTTCCACACAAAGTGCCTACTATTGTTTACATCCTCCAACTAATCGAATTTATACATCTCGTCATGTTAAATTCGTTGAGGATGTATTCCCTTTTCCTTCTCTTAGCAACTCTTCATCTTGCACAAAATCCTCCACTATTGAGGAATGGGTAAGTATAAATCTTCCCTTTTCACCCTCCTGCCACATTCAACCTATAGTTGAAGACACTACTCCTCCTCACTCCCCTACTCCTACTCCCTCAACCTCTCTGCACACACAATCGTCTTCATCTACACCCTCGTCTGCCTCCCCAACTATACCAAACTCCTCATCTTCTTTCAATATCACATCACCAAATACCCCACTATCCGACACTCATTCTGAACCCGAACCTACTGCCCCTCCTCCATCTCGTACCATTGTCACTTGTCTCCAAAACAATATTGTCAAACCCAACAAAAAATATGCTTATCCTACCACTACAACCAGCCCTCATACTGAACCCACAACTATCACCCAAGCACTCAAAAACCCGCAATGGAGAGCTGCAATGCAAGCTGAATTTGATGCTCTCATAAACAATCAAACGTGGGTCCTTGTTCCACCAACTGACACACCCAATTTAGTAGGTTGCAAGTGGGTATATCGGGTTAAATATACAGCCAACGGTGATGTTGAACGGTATAAGGCTCGTCTTGTAGCCAAAGGATTTTTGCAACGTCCAGGTATTGATTTCTCGGAGACGTTTAGTCCAGTGATAAAACCAGCTACTGTTCGATTGCTACTCTCTCTAGCAGTCTCAAGTGGATGGTCGATTAGGCAACTCGACATCAACAATGCCTTTCTTCAGGGAACTCTTCATGAAGATGTTTATATGGCCCAACCTCCGGGTTTTATTGACAAAGACAAGCCTACTCATGTGTGCAAACTTCGAAAAGCAATTTACGGCCTAAAACAAGCACCTCGTGCTTGGTATACTGAGTTACGCACATATCTTCTTTCGGTTGGGTTCAAGAATTCTATTGCCGATCCTTCACTATTTCTATACAATTGCAATGGGATTATTTATTATTTGCTGGTTTATGTTGATGATATAATTGTTACAGGTCCTTCTTCGAATGCTCTTCAACAACTAATTAATACTCTTGCCTCACGATTTTCTTTGAAGGACTTAGGTCCTTTGTCCTATTTTTTAGGTGTTGAAGTACATCCTCATGATGGTGGTCTGTTTTTAAGCCAACATAAATATATTGGGGACATTCTTGCTCGTGCTAATATGTCAAATGCAAAGCCTGTCTCCACTCCAATGGTGGCACACCCTCCTCTGACGGGTGATTCTGGGTCACCATTGTCCACGCCTTCTGAGTATCGTGCTCTTGTTGGGGCTCTTCAGTACTTATCTCTGACTCGTTTAGATGTTGCATTTGCTGTCAATAGGCTATCACAATTCATGCACTGTCCCACGGATACTCATTGGGCGGCACTTAAGCGTTTGCTTAGATATCTCAAAGGGACAATTGATCATGGTCTAACTCTTCATCGCCACTCACCTTTGATCCTTCATGCTTTTACTGATGCGGATTGGGCTGGTGATAGAGATACATTTCACTCTACAACCGGGTATATTGTTTATTTGGGTAAGAATCCCCTTGCTTGGAGCTCAAAGAAACAACAAGGTGTTGCAACCTCTTCCACTGAAGCAGAATTTCGAGCTGTTGCATCCACTACGGCAGAGGTGCTCTGGCTTCTCTCTTTGCTCTATGAATTGAAAATTAATTTGTCCACTAAACCAGTCATCTACTGTGACAACTTGAGTGCTGTAAGTTACTCCAAGAACCCGGTTTTTCACTCAAGAATGAAGCACTTAGCCCTTGCTTTTCACTTTGTTCGTGAACAAGTCCAACTCGGTTCTCTACGCATACAACACATTAATGGTGATGATCAGCTTGCCGATGCTCTTACAAAGCCTCTAGCATTCACACGGTTCTCTTTATTACAATCCAAGATTGGCCTTGTCTCACGACAGTCCATCTTGAGGGGGCGTATTAGGAGATAATCTTGTATATATATTTTGAATTTATCTTTTCCTTATTCTGTTTTAGATAGAATCAATTCTCCTATAATGGAGCCATAATTTTAAGCATAGATTAGGCTATAGTTTAACTTAATTTGTTAAGTTTGTATACTATATATATGGCTGCCAAAAGCCTTGTGAAAATCAATCAATTAACATATTTCTTATATCTCTTATAGACCCGACCACGTGAATGTCAAGTGTCCCCCTAAAACCACTAATCCTCCCTTTCCCTCCTTATTTCAATCTAATCTCTCTCTCTTTCTAACTGTTTCTCTCTCCTCTTATTACCCCGACACTGTTCTTCGACATTGCTCAAAATTGAAGACATTGTTGCTCAAATTTCTCAGTGAATTCTCCAAGGAACTTCAATTGGGCCAGGTAAGTATGTCTAAATTGCTTCTAGTTGCTTGCATTTGCTGAAATTAGGGTTTACTTCGATCGAATTCGAAAGCGATGACATCCAATTAGCACAGAGTACAAAAACCAATTGCAAAAAAAAAGGAAGGAGAGAGAAATTGAGAACTTACTTTCACCTGCCCAGCAATTTAACTCGAACTATCAGCATTCAATTCGTGGCAGCCATGGCAGAGCAGCAAAAATTTAATGAGGAGAGGAGGAAGAAATCGATTTTAATTTGAGGGGGGGAAAGAACAGTACAGAAGGAGAGAGAAAGAGAGGGAAAAAAGGGGGTAAATTGTGTTGGAGGGAAATTTTGGGTAAAATTAGAGGAGAGAGAAAGAGAAAGTGAGGATTAGTGGTTTAAGGGGGACACGTGACATTCACGTGGTCGGGTCGACCCCTGAAAACCAAGTCAATGGCCTTTTTCCGAGAAAAGGTGTGTGATTGCAAAAAAATTTACAATTAAGGTGTGTATTTGCGAAAAAAAAATTTATAAGGTGGTTTCTTGCAATAAAAGTGTTATAAAAGGTGGTTTAATGTAAAATTTCCTATCTAAAATGATTTTGTTGATAATTATATCAGTTGATTTCTTAGAAGACTATTGAACAAGCTAGGAGGATAATTATAATAATAATCAAGTTCGAACATGGTGGTTAGTAGTTAATTGTTGTACTTTAGTTGATTTCTTAGAAGACTATTGAAAATGGAGTATGATCATGATTAATTATAATCACCAAGTTAATTAGAATATGATGGTTATTATTTAATTCTAAGTTATTTGTAATTTTTTTTTAGTGCTGATCCATTCAACATTTTCTGCAATTAATATTTTAAATAAACTAGTGTACTTTAATAGAATGTGCACAATAGTTTTATAGAATGTAGATTTCATGAGTACGATTTTGTGTTCGTGCATATTTTAAAATATAGAATTACAATTTGGACAAGTCAGTTGGGGGTATTTGGGTTCGCAATTAGTTGATTTCGTATGGACATTATATCGATCAATATGTACTCGTCATAAAATTACAATTCAATTTAGGTGTAGGCCTGTTATCATTGATTGAAATGACCTGAACTGGACTTATTAGAGCTGAACTGAACTGAAATGAATATATTAGGAGAGAAGGAAATTAGGAGCTGAACTGAACTAAAAATAATCTGATGAGAACAGGCCCCTGGTCTTTGGTATACATAATGTTAGCTTGTTTCATCACTTTCATGTGAAGTCCATGAGAGATAGTATATTCATGTGAAGTCTTGTTGAATTTTTCTCATTGTAAATTTACTAATATTTAATTTTTTTTTATTTTTTATTTTTTTAGTATTTAACATGTATGGAAATGAAGATGTATATGTTTAAAATAATTGGAGGCCGAAAGTCAAATGGTACAAAAAATAATAAATAAATAAATAAAGAGCCAAGGAGAAGTTGATAGTGTATTAAGTTGTCATAGCTAAAAAGCAAAATATTTAATAAGCTAATTTCTAAAAGTTCATGAGCTTATTTCAAATCAAACTTCCAATTTAATTAGCTTTTTCATAACAGTGAAACCTAAATTTGTATTCAAATTCCATTTACATACAATTACTTATTTATAATACAAAGTGTATGGTAAGAATGGGTGGAGCACAATGAACGTTTATTAACTTCGTGAATGATAAAGTGTAACCATATTATAGAGACGTGAAAGGGGCATTAATTAATTTCAAGACCATCAGTGTGTACGAGAAAAAAGGAATCATGTCAATCATCTATTAACTTCGTCCCTGTATTACAAGTATTAACATTTAAATTTTTATGCATTTTAATTTAATGCATAACTTTAACAACTAGGATTTTTTTTAATAAATATATACTTGTAATTTGAAACTAATCTAGCTAAAGAAGAGTGAGAATGGGATGAAATGATCTCACTCTTCGATTCGTACTTGGTAAAAGAAACGCCCATGCTATAAAATTTACATGAATGTCAGTTATTTTCAATATGTTAATAATACTATCATCGATCTTTTGTAAACCACTTAATTGACTTAAGTATAACGTATAATTGGATCGCCAAGCAACACATAGCAAATGCCACCAAGATAGAAACTTGAACCCACAAATTTGAATTGAATGCTTCAAACACAATATGATTCCAGGACCATAGCCATAAAATCGAAAAGCATGAACCGAAGACAGCACCTACTATCACTTGGTTCATCGTGTGGAATTTCTGTGAGACTCGTAGCCACGCCTGCGCAATTAGTCCCAAAAAGAAATTAAGATTATTCTGGCACGGAAGAAGTATTAATTATTTATAACCCAAAATGCACAATTAATTGAGTTGAGTATCAAAACAAAAGGCCAATTAGTACTCATAGGCGTTATTGTCCTTAGTCCTTACCAGATATGAACCAATCGCCAGGATAACAACAGCAACTATCACGGTTATTTTGCTCACCCCAAGCCTCTGAAACACTGCAGGAGATACAGCACATTAGATGATCAACCTTGGCTTATTTTTGTAATTTTTACTACTGTAATAAGTTGAAGACATAAAGAAGGTTGAAGGGAATAATTACTTGAGAGAATGAAATAGATGACAGCATAAAAGATGTATTGGCCATGGCATGACGGCATGCCAGGGTCCGATTTCGTGTTGCCAATAGGACGGTCTTGATTCAATATCCTTTTTAAAGCAATACACAGCAATGAGTTAACAACAGAACCTATGGTAACCCAAGCAGCTTCAGCATCACGTCTCCAAATGAATACACCAGCAAATATTACAGTAATCGCCCATTTACTCTGTATATCAGGAAAACAACCATGTAAGTAACTTATTAATTAATATCAACTTTAGCCAATATTAATAATGCACCAATTAATACTCTAATGTTGTCCTTTTTCAATTGTAGCAAAATCATACTTGTATAAACTACACACGTAACGTAGAATAAAATCGTACTCATTTTATACTCATATTCTCTTTAGCCATGTAATTATTGTGACTTATATGTACTAGTAAAAGAAAATTTGACTCCGTGGAGTTTTGTTGGATCTTATCTTGATATATACGTACTTTCACCAACAACTTTATAATATATATATATAAAGTATGGAGTAATATCTTTACCGTTACATAATCAATGATATTAGAAGTTTAAATTGTGTTTTTGAAAAGTTTAATTCACTAGTGTTGCACTAAAGAGATATTAATTAATCATACTATTACATCCTTTAATCATTTGATATGCTGAGATATTTATGTATTAGTGATTAAGAATCAAGTTGAACTTAACTAGGAAAATTAACCAAAAAAAAAAAAACTCACCAATCGATTGAGAGTGGATTCAAATTGAGGAGAGAAAATAAAAGACTGAAATTTAGAAGAGCAATCCAGAGAAACCTCATGCTCAAGAACATTGATGTTTTTTTCAACATGCTCGAACTTTAAAGCAGGAATTTCTATGAACTTTTCACTCATTATTCTTGTTTTGTTTTTCTTTTTTTCTTTCTTTTGATGCACTTGTATTTAAGAAAACTATGTTCTTATGTTTTTCTCAAGAAAGTAGCAACTTTTAATTTGGGGAAGAAGCTAATTAAGAAGAACAATGGTTGATAGATGGAAGTGAAACAAAAAGTGAAGTTAGTATAAATAGTAATTGTGTTTTGTCAAATAAATAAATATTAATTGTGGGTCAAAGGATTGGACATCATGGCCGGAAGAATTCAGCAACAAAAATATGTGTTAAAAGTTTAAAATTGTTTTTTATATGAGAAACAAATGATTCAATAATTAGGAATGATGGAGTTGATTTCTTGGAATATTCATCAAGTTTGAACATGCATGGTGGTTATTTAATTAATTGTTGTAGTGTGGAAGTATGAACGTATGGTGCATATATTTTATACTATTTCAGAATTGGGACCTTGTGTGTAACTCTATCAACAAATATTCTTCAAAAAAAAACACAAAACAGAAATAAAAATTAAATTAAACTTAAAAATCTATCAACAAAGATTTTATTCTTTTTTTTAATTGCTAATCCATTCAACATTTTTGCGATGGATTATTTTAAGTATACTAGTGTAGTTTATAGTTTATAGAATGTGCAATTCATGAGTACATTAATATAATGTACATATATTTAATTAAGAGACGCTGAGTAGTTGATATTTTTTTATTTTTTTTTATTTTTTTATGTAAAGAGATTCGTAAATACGATGATTTAATGAGATTGATTATCATGTCTTGGTCTCCACCCATAGCTAGTGAAACTAAGGGCCCGTTCTCTTACGTTGAAGTTCAGTTTAGTTCAGTTCAGTTCAGCTCAGTTCAGTTCAGTTCAGCTTAGTTCAGTTCGGTTCAGCTCCTAATTTCCTTCTCTTATAAAATATTCAGTTCAGTTCAATTCAGTTCAGTTCAGTTCAGCTGAGTTCAGTTCAGTTCAGTTCAGCTGAGTTCAGTCAATGAGAACAAGCCCTAAGTATTTACAATCATTAAGGCTCTGTTTGGTGGTAGCGTTTGAGGTAGCGGTTAGCGTTTTAACTGGTCAAAATTAAACGCTATCAGAAAAAATTTGAGAGTCTTTGGCAAGGTAACAGTTCTAGTAGCGGTTAGCGGTAGAGGTAGCATTTAGGTAGCTTTTCTGAAACGTTAAAATAGTAGCGTTTGAAAATAGCGAGTAGCGTTTGACAACTTTTTATTACTTTTTAAACAATATTTATATAAATTTTGATATCTTTTAGTATTGCAACCGCTACTTTTGTCAAACACTCATACTATCAATCGTTATTTTGACAGCTAACCTCTACCCACTAATTGACCGCTACTCGATCGCTAAATGTTACCCGCTACCGCTACTTTTGCTAAACAGGACCTAAGTCAAACTAATTTATACAATCATCTAGTCAAATAAAGTATTTAGAATCAGTTCTTCAAACCAAATAGTATAATACTATAATTAGATTAGAGCTGTCAATTCGGGTAAACGAGTCGGCTTTGGGTCAGGACAATTCGGATTAATTCAAAGCTTTTGCTTCTTGTTATTAAAAACTTAATAACAATTATAAGACATCCGAGAATATTGACTATTCAAATAAATTAATTATTTGCTTCATTTGTCTTTTCACATTCACAAAGCATGTCTTTAAATAATTTTATGTAGAGTATTAATAAAACAATAAAAATTTAATATTTCAAAATGCGCATTTGTGTCAAATCTAACGAGACCGCACACGATAGTAGATGGGCAGTCACTTGGAATATAAAACAGAGAAGATAAAAGGCTGAAAAAGAGCAAAACCTGAATGGTTTTTCCAGAAGGGTCTGATGTACACCTTGGTTCATTCATAAGCTCCCAAGCCATAATTGTTGGGTCATTCATGTATGTCACACCATTTATGGTGTTACGCCTAGTAAGAACAGCCTACACAAAAACATCTTTTTAGATGAAATTTCAAGCATTAATAATTATAACTAAACAAATTTTTCTAGGAAAATTTGCCCAAAATAACACGAACTTTGGCCGGTTCGCCAATAATAACACCACCTTTGAGTTATTCCAAAATAACACCAACTTTGGGGGGTGTCTTCCAAAAATGGTACAAAAAAAATGGTAACCGGATTTAGGAGGTAATATTGCTGACGTGTGTTATGTTTTTGCCAGGTTGTGCGTTGCTTCCCCTTAACCATCCAACGTGTTCTTTCTTCTTCTTTATAACCGTTAGAAAAAAATGTCAAGCCCTTTATTCTTCCTTCTTCTTCATTCTCTGTTGTTCCTCTCTCAGTAGTCGTTGCTCCATCTTCTTCCTCTGTTTCTTTGTTTTCCTCTCTCTTAATTTGTTGCTCCTTCTTCATCTTCAAGTTCTTTGTTTTCCTCTGCTCTTCATCTCTCTTTAATCGTTCGTGTTGTATCAATTTTAGTGCTCTTAAAAAATTAATCAATGGCTACAAGAAGGTCAATTTCGAACCAATCATGTTCATCCTCTAGCATAAAAAGGATGGGTAATTCGAAAATTCCTTGCAATTGTGGGAATGAAGCTTTGATTAAAACTGTGAGAAAAGGCCCTAATTTGGGGATAAAGTTCTACGGCTGCCCTATGTGGCCAGTAAGTTGTGATTGATTGTCCTATGTTTATTGCATCTTTTTTTGTTTATTGTAATTTGGGGATATGTAATTGTAATTACCCTAATTTGGTGTTGTTTATTGTTCATATTTACTGGATGCAGGACACTCAATGTGATTTTCAAGTGGGTGAATGAGCAGGCTGAGATGGAAGATTATGAAGTGAAGTTGTTGGAAAAGGAAACCATAATTGGTGAGTTACAGGTTGAACAAAAAATCGCACATGAGAAAATAAAGAAATTGCAATTAAAGAAAGGAAAATTGGAGGAAGACATCATAGGGTTGAAGAATGAAATAGTTGCAATGAAGATTGAGTTAATGAAGTGTGGTAGGAATGAAAAAACGTTGTACTTAGCATTGTTGTTTTCTTGGTTGTTGTTTGGTGTTGTAATCTTCCTTTTGATTAAGGAAGAAATGAGGATGTATGTTGAATGTTTTATGTGGAAATAAAAAGCAATCAGTGTAATTGATTAATGGATGCTTAATTGAATGTTTAATGAGTAATGTTTGTTGTTGTATTTTGTACTTAATTGATTTTCATCATAATTGCAATAGCAGTGTACAATTGACTTACCCATCTCTAACACCTCAGCATCCCCTTGAATTTTTCTCAAACCTTTCTCAATATTTAACCAAGGCATTTGGTAAAACAAAGCATCCACATGAGCAATCCCACACTTACTACCATAATCCCTTAAGTCCCAGTAACAAAGTTCATCTGGGTCAACATCAAAGTTACTACAACTCCCACCCTTATACACCATTTCACCATTACGAACATGCTTAAATTGACCCCCATACCAGAATCGAACAGTCACATTATAAAAAACATGAGTATTTGCAGCAGACCCTAGAATTAAACAACTCAATTAGACTCCAAACAAACACTCAAGTAATTAACCCTAATTCAGCAATTAACAAGAAAATTTATCGAGTGAACAACATAATTCACCATACAAATCAACCTAATTATTAAACCTACTTTAACAATTAACAGCATAATTAAACATACGAACATCCATATTCAAATTAGAACACGTAAAATCCACCCAACAATCATAATTCAAACAAAACAAAGAAAGTAAAAAAACACGAACCTTTCTTCTTCGTCTTTCTGGGCATTTTGGGAACCAAAGATCGCAACTTTTTCACTCTTCTCTTCACTTCACTTCAATGCAATTTTCTTTGGGAGCAGTAGAATTTCGGAATTGAGTTCTGATTATTTCAAAGGGAAATGACGAAATGAGGAATTGAATATGCTCTGAGATTCTCTGATAAAATGGTTGGAAGACGAAGAAAGAGAGTGAAATATGGAGGGAAATGAATTAAAGAGGGAGACAAGAGTTAGGTGTGTAAAATTTAATTACACGTTGGATGGTTAAGGGGAAGCAACGCACAACCTGGCAAAAACATAACACACGTCAACAATTACCTCCTAAATCCGGTTACCATTTTTTTTGTACCATTTTTGGAAGACACCCCCCAAAGTTGGTGTTATTTTGGGATAACTCAAAGGTGGTGTTATTATTGGCGAACCGGCCAAAGTTCGTGTTATTTTGGGCAAATTTTCCATTTTTCTATAAAACTTAAAATTATTTACCTTGATATGATTCTTGTAGAAACCCTTAACAACAGAATTAGAGAAAAATTCATCACCAGAAGAAAGATATTGGCCTTGATTCTTAGCCTAGTTCACATATTGCTTCTTCCCTCCCATGCTTTCATAGTTATTTGCAAAGCTTAATATCAGCTTTAAACCATGTTTCCTTGCCTCAGCTATCACAAAATCCAACCCCTGTCATAAAAATTTAATAAGCTTCTGATGATGATAATTAAGTACAATCTCATATTCACTTAAAGTGATAATTAAGATTATTGTTATTCTAGTGTGTTACAAACCTGTAGTAGTAGTAGTAGTTGAGATTGACAAAATTTTACTGATCTTTAAGATCAACCTATTAAAATAAAAAAGCACAAGTGTAAAAAAGAACCTGGAAGACATGCTCATCATAGGAGCCAGGGAAGAGTTGGAGAGCGCGGTCACCTCCGTCGTTAAACGCCCAAGTTCGGGCGACGGTGAGGCCGTGTGAGGAAGCCTCACGGAAGACATTGGAGACCAAGTAACGTTGAGAAGGGTCAGAAGCCATGTACATGAGCCAGTAAGCATTGAACCCATTTGCATAGTAAGGTGAACCATTTAATAAAAACCGAGTTCCTCTAACTCTGATGAACCCATCTCCTACTCTTCTTCTTATTACACCAGCATCAACTTTGAAGAATGTATGACATTGTTGGATTACTAGTAAGACTGTCAGAAACAATTTCAGGTGTTTCATTTTCTCTCTCTAGAAATAAAATGTAAGTGAAAAAATTAGTTGGGTTTGTTTGGAAGAAAAGTGGGTGGAAATTGGGAAAGTTGAAGAGACAATTGAAGTCTTTTTAACAAGGAATCGTATCCCCTGTCTTTTGTGGTGCTCAAGTTTTGAATCCTTTCCTTTATTTTATTTACTTTATAGTAGTCTGTAGTCCTTAAAAATTTTATGTCGTTTTTTGAGGTATAAATGTAACATATATCAAACTCAAGAATACCAGTGCGGCCTATGTGTATCCAACTTGGACCTTAAGCTATTTCGTTGCTTTAACTCTAGATATAACCGAGTGCATTACAATAGATAATAGAGCCTGACAGATGGTTTAAGTTTTCTGATTAAAAACTAAAAATGGTGTGAATTTAGGAGGAAACACGCGGCATGAAGCTGAAAGCATTAGAGGCATACGATATTGAAGTAACCCATGTGCATCCTAGAGGCCCACCTCGTGTTCTACCGCTCCGTATTAATGACTACTACGGTATGAATTACTCCTCTTCATTAATAGGGAAGTGAGTAGTGTTAATTTACCTTATCTTTATTTTAGTTAATATCACTGCTACACTAAAGTACGGAGTATATTACACCAACAACTGATGTTGCTTTCACTTTGATCAATAGTTACAAGATAGAACCTAATATGGGCAGCATTTCATGTTGCTTTCACCCTTTTTTTTTTTTTGTCCAAATAGAGTCCAAATAAGTTTGAACTTCAAATGAAGTAAACTTTAAGCTTGTATCATGTAATATAATTCGTACTTTAGCTCCAGGTATAGTTTGATGCGGTTGAGTTTAGAGCTTGAAATCAAGTTAAAAGCAAACTTTGGTTCGAATAAACCAGATACGGAGTAAAAGTTAATTTGAGGAACCAAGATTAGGCTGACTTAATTTTCATGTTACTACGAATACTAGTATGAGATAATTTGTTGTTCAACTTTTAAAAAAGTTTCAAAGGTAAATAAAAGAGAAAGGAGTTAATCAATGCGGCAGTTGCGGTGCCGACCCCCAAGATAGGGGGTGGGTTGGGTTCTAACAAGTTTATTAATAAAGGAGATTGTCCCTAACTTTTTAGGTCTACTGAAATCTGAAGCAGTTAATGGCGTAATCTGCGGATCCTCATTTCCATGCTTTTTCCTACAAACATCTCTCGTGATGTTGTCCATCCAATATTATGGACAATGAAGCTACCCATTTTCTTAAATATACTACAGAGTACAAATTATCTCAATGTAGTGTAGGGCCTCTTCCTACGTCAATACTCTCTTCCATCTTTTTGTTCGCTTCATTTTTCTTTTATATACGCCCCTAAAACTAACACAATATAAAATTTTTGCATAAAGATCAGTTTTACTCTTACCTTGGCTCCAACACATTTGATCTACTTCGTATTATTGTCTCTCGTTAAATCCGCCCTAATAGGAAAAGGTAAGGGGATACCAAAGGAGTGATAGAAGTAACTACTATGAGGCTGAGCGACACAACTCTACCATGTGAGGCTTTAGAATTTGTGCAATAAGAAGCTGTTTTTGGTGTCACATGATAAAGATTTTGCGTAACCGACCCTAGTATCCCTTCCCTATCTTATCTGACTCCAAATTAAAGCCAGGTCCTATATTTTTCTCACCAACCGGTCAAACAACTACCAGTACAGTAGTACTAAAATACACATCACTTACTCTTAGTCATATTGGAGGGAGAATCTATCAATCATCCATGAATACTAAGATATGTCGGTAACATAACCAAGCTGAGCTGAATATTCACATCCAAGCTCATGTAGCTCTGAACTTTTCACAAGCATACATAGACAATGTTCTTCAACAATCAACACATAAACAAGAGCTCCTCTAACTCATTTATCAAACAAGCTCCACAATTCATTTAAACGGAGTATAAAACATGTTCATGTTACACATAAACGAACAAGTGTTGCAGTACGCATATGAGATAAATAGGGTGAATTTTACTTAATCCATCCATCATGATTTCGGTTCAGATGTCAGGATATGTAAAAAAAAAAAAAAAAAAAAAAAAAAAAAAAAAAAAAAAAAAAAACCCCTAAGAATCCATTAAGGAGAAGCTGATGAATAAATTTGTGTGCAGTATGATTAGAAATTTAGAATATGACACAGATGTAAGAAATTGAGTATGTTGTACGCATAAAGATAATTGCCAAAGAAAAATGAATGTTGAATGATTTAAAGATGAAACATGTGTGGGGAGAAAACCCCGGAATTATAATCATATGAGCAGACTCAAATTACAAGACATAGTACATCTACATATCAATTACAATTTAATTTCTCCTACCAAGTGAGTATGAGTGAAGGAAAATGGAAAATTGAGAAAAAAGAAAAAAGCATACAAGAAACAGATATTAAGGCACAAAAGATGTAGAAGCAATCTAATGATTATAAAATAAATTGTTCCATATCTACAATCTAAATAGAGAACAGTTACAGGGAACTCCCACCTGGTCTTCTTCACATAAGATGTGCACAGAGCAGGGAGGGGAGCGATATAGCCAGTGAGCCAGTAAAGATGAATCCTATTGTTAAAAAACTTGGATCTGGCCACCATATCCATAGTGTTTTAGAAGCCCTTCATCTTGTCTCCATTTTTCTTTCACTTTGACTTCCACCTGTAAACAATAGCTCCAAGTCACCAATGATTTCAGTCAAAAAACGACTTTTGGAAGCAGTAGCAATATAACTATAACATTACTGTTATAACCAAAACTCAATTTGCTAATACACAAAAAAAAAAAAAAAAAAAAAAAAAAAAAAAGTCCATTCTAAAGGTGAAAGGACTGGACCTCACATGCAAATCTAGCCATCAAGGCACAAACTCTGGTGTTTTATGAACAAACTATCAAGAGTATCAGCATGATTAAGGAGGAGTTCCACACTTCCTAATACATAAAAATAATATGAGGCTGAAGATATTCACTAAACTGAAGCGACATTGATTCCAGTTAAATGAGACAATGAACAATGTAATCATATATTTGGAAATTCTGCATTTGTTACAATAATAATTATTTCACCAAAAAATTGGAATCTTTCAAATGAAAATGGAGATTTGTGTATTCTCTCCACAATTTTTTAGCATGCATCTGTGTGTGCTGGGTATAGATGGATAGGCCGATAGGATATTTCTAATTCAGTTACCTCTAGAAACACTTTCTTCTGCAAAAAGTCTTCTATGTCAAGGCGTGCAGCAGTCGCTAGCAATTTCAAAGCTTTTCCCTCCTACAAAGATTCAGAATCAATTTAAATATTCTGAGAAGAAAACAAAGCAAGGTCCAAACCAGCAATGACAATCAACACAAAATTTTATAGCAAACTAGGACAGGAGGACAATGAGCAACAGTGGCTCAAAATATGATAGCAATTCATACCAAGAAGGAAAAATGGAAATAATCAGAAACCTATGAATGCCACACAAGACAGCCCACAAAAGTCAGTGGCTCAGTAATTTTTTTAAAAAAGCACACCATGTATAAGTATAACAGTGATACCCAGAAGTGCATTCCTAATCGTTTTCCAAACCAAAATTACCATGCATAACCTACATTTTTTAAAAAGATGAACAGTCCCCCACCATGAAACTTTGAGAGAGGGGGGGGGGGGATTAAAGAGGCTAATTTAATTAGTCATGATCAAGAGTCCATCATGTGTAAAAAGAATTTCTGGAGCTGTTGCATGTAAAAACCAACAAGTCAATTAAAATTTCAGTGGAGAGGTGGTGGTTGTCTTGACTACATATAAGATTCAAAATGCAATAGCAACCATCAAACACAATCTTGATAGAGCCATAATCCCTTACCTTTCCAATAAGGATGATCTTTTGTGAATTCTTTTCAACAACAACCTCCACTTGAATAAAATCTTTTGCGCCTGGTCTTGATTTGTAACTCACAACATTAACCTGCATAATTTAGCATTAAAGTTAGGACTTAGGACTGCATGCAGCGAAAATGCCTCAGGCAATATAGAGGAAAATTACCTGGCATGCATATGGAACTTCATTCTTGTATTGCAAAAAGATTTTTTCCCTAACAATTTCACCTACAAAAAATCTTTCAGGGTGTTCACTGGCAATGTCCTGCCAATCAAGTAACAAAAGGATATTAAGATTCAGCTGAAAATTTGTCATCCTTTTCACTTATAATTTTAAAAGCATTAACTGAGAACAAGTAAATCATCCTCCAAGATGACCAGTTGTGCTGAATGCATTGGTGACAAACAAATGGAGCAAAAAACAATCATCTCATAAAAAGCTAAAGACATGAGCTAATACTTTTGGATAATAGGGTGGACCAAGGGGAAGTTTTGATAAAATCCAATCTTTGACATCATCAACTCCATGTCCATGTTTAGCACTCACAGGTATAACCTCATCCACATCGGTAAACTTCTCGTACCACTGAAACAAGCAGGAGTAGAGTGTTAAACAAGCATCAAATTATGAAATAAGTTCAAACATATTCATACAAACAGATTTTTGCAAGGAAGATTATATAACAATGAAACCCAAAAACACATACCACATATATTCTGTCTGATTTATAAATATTAAATCCAGTATGGCTGTAGAACATTGTGAATAACAGACATTTATACTAGCATGACATTATTAACACCCTACAAATAAACTACCTGTAGAAAGTTCATCAGAACTTCATGATCCCTTCCTCCATCCAATGACATTTAATCTTGAAACACATCATACGATATCCTGAAATAACTTCCTATCATTATAAGTGTCAAAGGACCAGGCCAGATATATTCATTCACATGTGCAGGCAATCCAAGAACCATGATCCACAAAACCCTATATGAGTAGGTGACTAGGTGTTGTCCATTTTAATATGTAATATGATTTATTTATTTTTCCTTACTGCTTCTATAATTTTCTCCCCTCTCAATAATTTCATAAGAGCTAACCTTCTTAATGGCTTACTGGTTATCCAGTGAAGTAATCTGGATGGACGAAGCATACAAATTCTATATTCTCAAAACATACTCAATGAGATAAATCAAACAAGACCTCACATGATTGTATTTTGATGTTTGTATGAGGGAAAAATTCAGTCAACTATTTTTAAATTTGAACTCAAAAGTTAAAGTGTTAATACTTTGACATAGAAGGTACACAAATGTTAACCCGGCAATTTGAAAATTATGGCAAAGAAACATTTTTCTGTAACTGGACACCATACAAAATTAAAAATGAAAATACTCCTTTGTTCAACAGTGTGAACATTGTGCGATGGACAGCAAAGTCATATAAAAACATTTGCTTTAGGAATATACAAACCTGGAGTTTTTTAGCAATTTCACCAGGTTTAATGAGATCCCTTTTATTTAGAACAAGTAAGGTAGGTAATTTTTCCTTTAACTCCCCTACTCCAGCAAGCACTTCATCTAACTGAAAAAAATAATAGGAAAATATGTCAGTTAATTGAGAAATTTGAGATTCTGATTGCTGATAGATGATAAGAGCTGAGGAGCAAACCTTTTCAGGCATCTTACACGCATCTACCACAACAACTACACAATCTGCATTGATGGCAGCACTTCGGACATTCTTCATCATCATAGAGTCCAATTGGTGCATCTTCTTCTCAATAACTCCAGGTGTATCATAAAGTATAATCTGCAAGCTATTAACAGCTGGACTTAACAATTGTAGTAAGTTCTATATGCTTTGTGAACAGGAAAACACAAACATTTAAGGGCTACCCTTGGAAAGAAAATCAATTAAGATGATAATTGAATAAATAGAATAGATTAATCCAAACCTTAACAAAGAATTTCACAAGCAATGAACTGAAGTACTCATTCAACTGCATCACTAGGTCACTAACTTTCTAATAGACAATACAATGGTACATGCCATTTGTTTCCCTATCGCCTAGGAAAAAATCACACGATGCAGCACCTTGGACCGATGTCAAGTATTCCCTAATTTACCATAAAGCATGGTCAATTTTATTTCATAATAGTTAATGCTATCAAGAAAGATAGAAGATATACAGCCAACATGTGCCAATCATGTCACCAGAAGATACCATCATTAAACAGGAATGTCACCAGACAAAGTACACTCATTAAACACGCAACTGGCCTGGGGTTATCAAAACACCACCACGCTTAATCACACTTCAAAAGGTCAAAGACCAAAAAAAAAAAAGCTATACAAGATTCCACACAGGAAATAACATTTAGCCATTAGAGCTATTGTCTTCTATAAATAAATACTCCATATTAGACGTCACAAGGAAATCGTTTACAGGGAAATTCAAACCTGATGATCTGGGCCAGAACATATACCAAGGATTCGATGTCTGGTAGTCTGAGGTTTATCTGTCACAATTGACAGCTTCTGACCAAGCATTTGATTTATAAGAGTGCTTTTCCCAACGTTTGGCTTGCCCACCACAGCCACATATCCTGTAAATGATATTAAAATGTAATCTCAAGGAAAAAGAAGCATATTTTTATAACATCTTACCATAACCCCCCCCCCCCCCCAAAAAAAAAAAAAAAGTTGGAGAAAAGACTCATACAGAAGCCCAAAAGGTTTGAAGATAATGAATAACATAATCAAACATCTATTAATTTTGAATATCAACTATGTGGAGGCAATGTAGGAATCACTCAATAACTCGAATTCCCTGACTTAGTATCTACCAAAGATTAGAAACTTATAAGTGCATTACGAATATTACGATAGTCCTAAACAAAACAACTGAATGGAGCATAAACCCTAGCACAAGTGCACAACCAATTCCCCATTACAATCACCTGAATAGCATAATCTTTTGCTACATTAGTGGCCTCCTCAACACATTCTTAACACATCATTCCAATCCTATCGCCTTATCCGACATCTCCAAAGAAACGTTTCCTAACATATTACAAACTAACAAAACCTTGAAAGTGAATCGATTAAGCAATTAAACACTCTTAAATGCCACATGATAATTAATATCAGCTCACACTCACAAATAGCTAAACACAATAAAATCTATCAAACCATGAACCAAATTTCAACAAGTAGTAGTTCAAAAATCAGCAGCAATTAAACAACCAAATTCAGTTAAAATTGCCCTAAATTTGAAGATACCAAGGTAGAACTAAACATCAACCATATCAAAGCTAATCTTCAATTCCGAAATGCAAAATTACGAAACCCTAAATCAAAAAAATAAAGCAGGAAGTTTAAAGAATACTAACCACTTTTATGGTTAGGGTCAAAATCTCTCTCCTCCATTTCATAATCATCCAGCAACGCTAAATTTCTATCTGGTTTTTCACTTAGAGAGAGAAACGATGATGACGACGCCATTAATTCATTTTCAAAGTTTCTATATTCTTCTTCTTCGTCTTCGTCTTCAATTAATGGAAGCTTCTCGTGCAAGCTAATAGTACTGTAATTTCTGAGTTTAGAATTTCTGAAATTGAATTGAATGGTTGGGAATCGAGAGAATTGCGAAGGAGATGAAGATAGAGAAATTAGGTTTGAGGAATGAGAGAGTATTCTCTCTCCTAAATGAGGTATGCCAACTGCTAAAACCTCCATTGCTGGAGCTTCGACACTGCTACTCTGTAAAACTGTATGTAATGTTATCCTCTTTCTCCCTCCTTTTTGTTTGATAAAATAATACGATGCTTAATTGGGCTATTGGGCTATTCTCCCTTTGTTGGCCCAAACAATCAGAAATAGTACTTGGTAACACAACCTTGAGTTCAAAGGGTAAGGATTGCAATCCGACTTTCAGACATGAGGAAAGGAGTCGAATCGTACCTGTCTCATTCACAATATTAGTCTTCTAAGGAAAGAGAAACTTTAATTTGATTAGATATGTGATTAGTGTTTGTTTGCCCCAATTAATACACTTGTGTAACAATTGGAAGTTTTTAACCTAAAAAAAAATGTTGCAAGTTTTCCCCAAGACGCAGAAACTGATCTTAGTGCACAAATGTCTTATTATCTTTCTTAGACTCATGAAATATAAGGCCAGTATCATGCATCAACCATCTGTCCATCTAAGGTATAAAAGGCACCAATGGGTAAAATGCACTGATCATGTATCAACCATCTTAGGAGTAAAAGGCTCCGACAAAGATAGCTTTCAAGCATCAAGCCATAACATCTATGAAGTAGGAGACTAGGAAATCACTCAATCATTCTAGTCACGCATTGCAACTTGCAAGTAAAAAAATACTCCGTACCATCTAAGGACTGTAAGGAGTAAAACAGCCCCAACAAATATCTCTTTGAAGCCTTAAATGACATTTATTAATCAAAGTTTTGGTTAAGTAATTAATTAAGTAAACCCATACCTGCTTTTTCACATAGCCCTGTCCAGCAGGGTGGCAGATTATCACACAAACAGACCAAACAGGAGGTATAATGCACACTAATACACCACGCCATGGCCACAGCCAAATCAGGTAAAAATGATGTGCAATTAGGATTATTAATAAACGAACTTTAGTTGTAAGCAACTAACTAACTAAGCATGAAGACTTAGAAATAATGGAGACTTGGAAATAATGTAGCCAGCAATGCAAGATCTAAACTCTAATTATCTCATAAACAACACAGCAAGTCAGCGACACCGTAACACCCAAGCTAAAAGAGCGCTTCAACAATCTAAAGGCAGCAAAATTCACAAGCTTTTTTTTATCACAATTCACAAACACGTCACATAGACCCATACAAGAATTTGAAGTAACAAAAATTTAGGCCCCTTCTTCGTTCTTTATCAAAAATGCCCTGCAAAAAATATAATCACACTCAGAGTTCCCAAGTTTCTAGAACCAAGAATCAGAATACCTCTTCCTGGCCTAGCACAAGGGACTCGAACCTTTTCTTTCGTTTTACAACAACGCATTTCAGCATTGCTCAAAAAGATGTCAATCATCAAAAGTACATTATTTTCATGAAACTGTACATTTTGCATAGCACAAAAATATGCATCCCGAAATGTGAAAAAGGCTGTTATGCACATTGCACAAATGCACCAGACTTTGTCAAATTATTTCTTCCTATTTTGTATACGTCTAGGTATGGCCTAATCACTGCTTATCACTGTTAGGTTGGAAGGCTCTGTTACATTCACTTGAAGATGATGCTTTTCCGCTTCCACTTGGAAGTAAAGACCATGCCAAAGCCGCACCACCGAGTGTAACAGCTGCAGGAATAATAATTGAGCCCCAAACCCACTTTTGTCTTATCCTTTTCTTCTGTCTTTCATGTCGTGCAATTTCTGAAAATAAGCACACAAGCAAGTTCAGCATATCGTCAATCAAAACAATTCTTATTGATATTATCTAAAAGCAGCACATAACTATCATAAACCCCACAGAAGCAACCCAAGGGAATTCATAAATAATCTAGTGTGATATTTCGCCACTAGAAATGAGTCTTCAACGCCAGAACAAACTCGCACAGTATAGTACACATAATAATACCACCTTCTGATAATTAATGTGGAAGAATGCCAAAATATTGCAGTATGCAACAAGGAGAAAAAACATCAATACACAAGTAAACCATCAGAGGGTAGTGCTTTGCAAAAAAAAAAAATCACACACACAAAAACCAAGAATAAAAAAAAGAGCTCCTCCATCTATCGTTCATACAAAAAACTGAGACCGTGAGGATTTATGTAGAATTGATGCAACAGTTAGCAGATAATGGGTTTTAATTTTCAGTGGTCTGAGCTTCAATGAATTTACTTTAGGCTTTTTGAAAAAAAAATTACGCTAAAATATTTTCGTTCATAATATTAATCACTAATACGAAAAGAGAGCTGATTTTGGAAAATATACTATTTCCAGCATCATATTATGTAATATTGTAATGTATCAGCATTGAATACGATAACTGATCCTATGTCAATTGCCAAATACTCCTACCATAAATAACACTATCTGTCACATTATTGAATTTTCAAACAATTTGTAAAGCACACATGGAGGAAACTATTCCATTCTTTTTTCACGAGCAGCAATAGAAAAGCCTAAAGACTCGAGAAACAAAACCATGATTCAATAGCCATTATCAGATTATCAATAAAGTATAGGAGAAATGTATCACAATCATTTGTTTATAATTGAAACATAGCAACAAAACAAGCACAAGCAATGTGGTTCAGCAAAATAAACAAGGGGTAAAGAGGTACAAGTATAACACATGGGATGTCATAATACTCATAAATGACGGGAAGAGTGCAAGAACGAGATGAGATATAACAAACACAAAATGACTGGTGATCAGTCCATCACAACCATGTCAAGTTGAAACAAGCAGGCCATATAAAAAAACTATTGCAAGTTAAGACTCACCCATGGCTTCTTGGTTCCTCTGAGACATTTCTCGATTCATAGTCTCATAATAATGCAATCTGTCAGTTAGGCGAGCAATCTCAAAGTTCTTCATCTCCAGCTGAGCTTCCATAACTGCCTCAGCTTCAGCCTTTGCAATCCCTCTCCCAACAGATTCAGACACAAAACGTGCTAGTTGGATTTGTCGGCAAATTTCTTCAATAGGAGCAGTATCTGCTTGGCCATCCTCTGTTAACGCAGTAAGATTTTCAGGAAGTATCAAGCCAACAGCCTCTAACTTCTCCCGCAGCATTCGCCAAAGTTGTTCCATACTCTGTAAGGCTTCTTCTGAGAGCTTTCTCTTTTCAATCTCCATCAACAAGGTCAACCTCATTTCTCGTAGCTCAGTTTCAACCTCATTAAGAGAACGATGTGCTTGTAGGCCACTATCAGAAGAGAGTTCTAAAGAAAGGGGGAAAAAAAAAAAAAAAAGCTATCAATAAAATATTCTAGCTAATGGCAATAACACTTGCGCAGATTTATAGCCAAGGTTGACAAGCTGAGCTATAAAAATACAGAGCATGCAATAATACATCCATTCCCCATCGAAATAATAACATAATATACTTCATGTATGCCATGGCTATCAATTAATCACACAGACAGACTCGATCTATCTTCACTTGGCTGCTAGCCATGCTTTCGAAGCATAATAACATTGCTCGTAAATTAATCAAGCTGTATCTCAAACTAGACTACTTTGCAAAACCTACAAATGATAATCACCAAGGCAATCCAGATATCTGTCATAATATAATCCCATGAACAATAACTTAGCTTTCAGCTCTTTTTAACCTAATTACTCCAAAACCAATGACAAAATGAAACCAAACTTATGACTGTTTAGAACTAGAAAACCGATCCTCACTATAGCAACCATTTTTTCTTAAACCCAAAGATTGCAGCACATAGATTTGACAATTTACTCAATATAATGAATCTTTCAACCTAAAAGCTTCAAATAACTCTCCCTTCCATAAAAAGTAAGTTAAATCATTATCATTATAAAATACAGTTGTACAATATTACAGAATTATAGAGCTTATTGTGAGAAAAAAACATAATTAAGTTCTAAATTCACCAAAAACAAACCAGTGGGACCAATCTTAACACTCCAATTTATCATTTCTCCCTTTTTTAACTTTGCATTACTAAACTAAAAAAAGTAGGGTCATAAGATAATGCTAATTCTATAGTATTACACAACAACATGCTCATTAAAACAGAATCACATACCAAAACCATATAATTTGATGAAAATTTTCAAAAACAATAAAAATTATACCTTCCCAAGCATCATAAAACTCTCCTCCCATGGGAGTATTACCCCTAGCCGACCTCTCACCACCGTAATCATCGCTATCAGCCGAAGCCGAAAAACTCATAGATTCTTGCGGGTCATAGAAATCTTCACTCTCACAATTCTCTCTCACCAAAACATCCCCATTAACTTCAGCTTTCTCAGCTTCAATCTCGGCTACAAACCCATCATCATTCGATCCATTAACAACCAATTCATCATCAAACTTCTCAATTTTCGCCTCAATTGTAACATTTTCATCAGAATGGCTTCTTATATGTCCCCCTTCCAAAGCAACAGCAGCCTCCGCCGCTACGCTCTGGTCGGAGAGGCTCTTAAGGAGTCGCGGGCCCCGCCTTTTGTGGTTGATAAGAAAAGGAGAAGACGGAGGAAATGAAGAGGTAGATGAGTCAGGAATAGGAGTGGGTTCCGGCGTAGCGTAAAGCGACGGATGTATCTGCGGTCTTGCCGACGGCGGCTCCGTCGCCGGAGATGAAGTGGAGTTCAGACGACGTAGCTGAGGATGCGGCGGCGGTATATCCTTCCTTCTAGAAGATGATTTCAGATCGTCGACCGGTAACGACGTCGTTTTGCGTGAAACATCGGAAATGTTGGTAGACGAAGTCGTTTTGGAAGCTCCTGGTTCCAGAAACCGATCGAATTGTATTGCTGCGAAGGTTGGCATCGTCTGATTCCAATCTCTGCAATTTCAAAACCAAATTAATCAATCGAAATCTGGAAAAATCGAGATTCAATTGAAGAAAAGAATTGAAGAATCTGAGATTGAATCGAGAGTAACCTCGATTGTGGAGGAGAGAGAAAGTAAAAATGGAGGGGATTTGAAATGGAAAGAGAACCCTAGAGAAAGAGGAAAAGGCGGTGAGAAGAAGAGGGAAAGAGGGTTGAAAACGACGCGTTTTGATTCTCCTTAACTTCTGGAGGTGTTTGTGTTTCTTCTTCTGTTGTTGGCTTTTGAATGTTTGTTTAATTTTTAAAAGAGAAGAAGGTTCTGGGTGTGAAAAGACTGAAACGCCCTTATTTGGGAAAGGAAGGAGAGGGTGAATGAGAAGGGTAAAACGGGGTTTTTGGTGAGGTAAATGGGAAAAGTGTGAGGTAATAAATAAATAAAGGAAGGAGACTTGGGGAAAAAGACAAGAAAATGTGGATGACGTCATAAATAAAACGGTGTCGTAAAGAAGGGGTTTTGGGTTGGGGTAGAGTAGAATCTTGGTTTGTGGCCAAGAGTGTGGGGGGAATCTTGAGCAAAAAGAAAGTGAGTCACGATATTTTTATGAGAGGGAAAAATCCCCAACAATTTTAATTTTTTTTAAACATAATTTTGAATTTTTTAAAAGAAAATAACAAAGTGTGAGGTCCAACAAGAAGTAGGTGGCAGCATTAGGTTCCTTTAAATTTTAAATTTTAAGGAAAATGAGTATGTATTTTTCCACGTTTTGAATATTTGACTAAGCTACGATTTTTTTATTAACACTTTGAAATACGGAGTATTTTGAAATCGTACTTTTATTTTGGAATATTGTGAATACACTTTTGTTACATAAGCCATATTTGACTTTTCATTTTTCCATGGGCTATTTCTATAAATTATTTTAAATTGAATTTCTAAGTAAACTACATAGTATGAGTATTTTTTTTATACAATTTGATTTTTATGTGTGTTTAGGTATATTTGAATTTAAAATGTCTATATCATGTCAATTCATTAAATACCGAATGACTAAGAGCTTGTTCTGATTTATTTAATTGAGCTGAATTGAACTGAACTGATTCAAGTTGAAATGACCTGAAGTGAACTAAATATTTTATGAGAGAAGGAATTCAGGAATTGAATAAACTGAACTGAGATGAAAATAGGACCTAGTTACATATAATCCTTAACAAATTATAGATTTATATATGAAATAGAAAAATGGTTCAATTTTTTGTGCTACAAGAGTCAAAATTTGGTTTTTCCATAAATTAGACTTCGCTATTTATATCTTTTGTAATATACATCTTTTAAAAAGAAAATTATAGGTTTTTGCTTATTTTTATAATAATTTCACGAGAATTTTCCATAACTTTTTCTTATTAAAAGGAGTGATCATGATGAAATCTTAGTTCTTGAGTCAAAGCAAATGGATGTTATCCTTAGGTTGATTTCAGTTTAATTCAGTTGAGTTCAATAAATCAGAACAGACCCGAAATACAAACAAATTATTCTCAAAGAGTATGTTTATTGACAGGGTTCAACCCGACTTATAATAATGCAAATGAGCAAGTTCCAGTTAAGTTAAGAAACAAAAAAAGCTCTAATTTTAGAAGTTTGTTTGAGTCCAAGCTATCTCAAATGCTAACAATTCTTCTCAATCTCAATTAGAACAAACAAAAAATTGGTTTTATTTGTAGTTAGTTGCTCATGCAAATTGATTGAGAATGAAAGAGCTTTGTTTTTTTTTTTTTTGAAAACCCGTTAAAGGTGTCTTATATTGATAACTTATCCATCAATACATACGGAACAACCTCACAAGGACATTAGTTCTCCCAAATTTGCACATTATCAAAAGGCGTTAAACGGGCTAAATTACGAGCAACTACATTGCCGTCCCGTTTAACGTGACACCAACTAACGGAACTAAAATCAAGACAAGAAGATAGAATATCATGAAGTACTGCATCAAGGTCAGTATGGAAGATCGAAGCTTAGCCTATTTATTAGCACTTGACTGTCGGACTCAATCACCACCTCCTGCAGACCGTGTATTTTAGCAAGGTTAATTGCCCAAATAACAGCCTTCCCTTCAGCTATAATAGGTCGCAGTGAGCTTTGTTAATGTTGACTTGTTATCATCCTTCTCGATTATTACATGGTGACATCAACACTCCGGTGTAAAAAGTAGTCCTATTTGATTGTATTGTATTGTGGTCTCATTGGAAAAGGTTGGTGGTAGTCCAGTAGTCCTAGTAGGTAGGTTGCAATTGTGCCAACTTTGATTTAATTGAATTTTGGAGATAAATGACAAAATTAAGACTTTTGGGTTGAAAGTTAAAAAATTAAGCTTTCTTTGTTACAGAGTACAATTTATGCGTGGTATTTTAGTATATTTGTAATTGTGCTATAGTACTGTTTACTCAGTATTGTATGGAACATCATACATTATGTAAATTGAAATTAAACAAAAATTCTAAAATAATACAAGCAATGAAAGTTATCACCATATCACACATCATGGCAAAGCTTAATCAAGTTAAGTTGTCATCACTTGGCTTGGAAATTTTCAAATATTGACATTGCTTAACTTTCGCTTACTGACCAATTTGTTATATATTCGGCTTGACTTTGGATATACAAGTATACAACCATATAATAGATAAAGCTAGTTGTAGTTGTCAAGGTGATAGTGATTTTAAATGAATTCAAATGAAAGGTATTTGGGTAATAATTAATTATCCTAGCTTACTTAGCATTTTAGTATGATTTGAGCATGGAGTTCCAAAATATAAGATGCTTGAGATAATCCATCATCAAAGAATACATTGCCCACTTTTTCACCAAAGAAATAAAATCAAAGCATACATCAATATAATGTTGCTATTAGCTAGCTAGAATGCCATATATACAAGCTAAGTTATATAGTTGTTCATAATTAGGGTCTGTTCTCATTGACTGAACTCAGCTGAGCTGAACAGAATCGAGCTGAACTGAACTGAATATTTTATAAGAGAAGGAAATTAAGAGCTGAACTGAACTGAATATTTTATAAGAGAAGTAAATTAGGAGCTGAACTGAACTGAACTGAGCTGAACTGAATATTTTATTAAAGAAAGAAATTAAGAGTTGAACTGAACTGAACTGAATTTCAACGTATGAGTACATACCCTTACTCTTCACTTAGAAGTTGCATATGGGAAATGAAGAATGTAAGTGGCAAGAGATGACATACAGAAAAAGTTGAGTGAAAAGGCAACGACAGCATATAGTTGGAACTTGTAAGTCACTAAATTTAAAGAAGAGCACATGCAAATTCACATCAAAGTATCACTACTCACCGACCTTATTTGTCAAAATTCTTGAAACTCCATACCATATTGTCCAGTGGCTAATTATATCGCTGCAAATAACAGGATAATCATAATTCAGAAATATGCCGATAGCTAAACCAAATCAACTACTCTTGGTTAATTACTAGACTAGGAAAGTTTGGGTCCTCGATTTTCTTCAAAAGTTATACGCTTGTTTGGCAAATGGCTTTTGGAAGTTGGCTGGTTCACTCGGCTTGTGTAACTAGATGGAATGTTTGGCTATTTATAATGGTTTTTGAATTGGTCGTTTAAGCTGATTGTTTAAAGAAGTGTTTAGTAAGTTTAGTTGTTTGTTGTTGGCTGTTTATTAGATAATTTGTGGGCCAACAAAAAACACTACTCATAACAATTTTTTTATTTTGGCTAAAAAGTCAGCTTTTTCGCTGGTTGAAAAGCCAATTACCAAATATTTTTTTGACTGTTTGACCACATAATAAAAGTCAAAAGTCAAAAGCTAACTAAAAACCCAACAAAAAGTCATTTGCGAAACATGACCATAATCAAACCATATGGGAAAAAATCGACTAACTAGACTAGGCCACAACTTATAATTATAGACCGACGAGTCGATGACATTATTTTAATCTTACTTTTGTTGCACCTAACTCATTTTTACTCATTTTGATTAATTTTCCTTTTGTTGAAACTAACGAGTATTTGAATAAGCCAAATGATTTTATTTTTTTTATAAGTTGGGTTAATTAGACACTCAGATTGCTAATTGGTGTCTGATCTCCATGTAATATGCCATACTAAGGCCAAGATCGAAAGTATTGATAATGACAATTTTTTAATACAAAGTAGATATTATTTACAACATAGTTAACCTTAATTGACTACAAAATCTGGGCTCTAATAACAAGTTGAATCAAGTAAAGGCAAACCTATATATAGAATATTAGAATTCATAGAATCGTTCCTCTACTTTATCAACCAATAAAAGCAACAAAAATTCCCAGTATGTACACACTAAGAAAATAAAAATTTGAAGCAACAAATGAAATAAATAAGATCAAGTACCAAAGTTAATAATCCATATTCACTTGTAATAGATTGCAGGTGAATTTGTATCCTTGTTCCACACCCCTCCTTCTTTCAAATACTCAATGTACCGCGAAAAATCCGGATTCGCCGTCATCTTCTTCTTCCTCCACTTCCCATCAAACAAACTAAACACAGGGTGACTCTTGCCACTTTTTTTACTTTTTGCTGGCTGTTGTTGTTTTGGCTTAGAGTTTTTCCCTAGATGACCCGTTTCAAAGTCGAGTTTCTTAGACGATGACCCGAATAACATGCTAGCAGGAACACTTGTAACCCTCTTTAATACAGCATGACCTGCACCACCACCACCAGTACCAGCACAACTATAATCATGTACACCAGTCGTATTTGTCTCGTCTAATAGACGATCATACCCTTCTCGACGACTTCTTCGTGTGCTCAAAGCTCTAAACAAAGCCATTTTTATTAAACTTGTGTAGTTGTGTCTTTGGTGTTGTTCTTAGACAGTTTTTTTGGTAACTTGTCTGAAAACACCAAAATGTTTTAGGTGAAGAAATGAAGATACAAGAAAAAGGATAAGTGGGTGAAGTAATATCATATAACTATATAAGGGGGGGGGGGGGGGGGGGTTGATAAAATATTATATGCATGAACTTTGGTCGTATTTGGTATGCTAGTTAAATTAAATATAGTAAGGGCCCTGAGATCATCCAAATTTGACTTATTGTAAAACTGTGATCTCGTGGACAACTAATGTGAAGAAAAGATTAACATTTATCCAAGTGACAAAGATATAGCATGGGAAATTCATGTATGGCCCACATTTAAGTATGTATGCAATTAATTTTAAGTAGAATTTTTTCAAAGTTGGTATTAAAAGGGAAAAGAAAGAAAAAAAGGTATGAAGTTGGAGTAGAGTTGTTGGGGAGGATTAGTAGTGGGTAGATTTATTTTGAGTTTGGACTTGTTCATAGTTATTAGGAATTAGGAAATATAGACAATGTTATTAAATTAGAGAGCTTATGAAAGTAATGATTGTATCACTTAAATTAATAATGGAGAGGTGTTTCATTTGCTGATTTATCAAGGACCAAAAGAATGCTGATTTATTTAAGCAACTTGGAATGCAACAAGAAAAAAGTCGGCCATAGAAGCAAATTTTACCAAGTGAGCAACAGTCTTTGATAGAAGAGTAGCTATATAAACTATGTTCGATTTTGTGTTTTCTTTAGTCAAGTTCTAATCGAGTAGCGTTTAATTGAAATCGTTCATAAATTGAGAAAACTTGATTGTTGATTGGAAAATGATTACGAAATATTCGTAATTGAGTTGAGGATTTATTTTATTTTCTTGTTTTATTGCAAAATGACATGCAGGAGTACACATCCAGTTGCCACTTTGTGGGTGAAACTCCTTAAGTCAACACTATCATAGAAAGCTACAATTCATTTGATTTTAGTAAAGATTTTCTATCAACATGAATTATACTTCTCTTACTAGAGAAGTAGACTACTGTTTCTATCATGTCCACATTAGATGTTACAATAACGATGCTACCATAACCATAACAATTTTCTCTTTTCATGTTCGATTTTAATTCGGTTACACCATAAATTCTCCCTAACCTTTGAATCACATATAATATATATGATCAATTGATCACTTGTACTTTACTTTGAACTTAGAAGTGGACTTTGTCATAATTAATAAAGATGCATGATTACTTTGTCAGCTTCCTTTGTTGTTTAATTTACTAGTATAAAAAGAATGGTGAAATGCTTAGTGATTTATTCAATATACCCATTTCATATTAATATTATACTTCATACAAAAAGCTATCATATGATAGTAGCAGGTTAGACTTTAGAGAGTTGATGTATGGGAAAGTTATTCACATAGGCCACACACGTAATTGAATAGCCTTTGCTAAATACCTGGTCTCACAGAATTCTTTAATATGTAAACTCTTAGCTAAACATTTTTATCATAAATTTTAGGTGCGTGGAAGAAACATGTAAAACGATACAATTTCCAAAATTAAATGCATATTGATAGACCTAGTGAAAATTAAATAGGTACTCAACCTCCCACCCCTCTATCACCTTCCTACTGGATGGGTGTACAAGGTAAGATGTTTGGTTGCCAACCTTTGATTCGGGTTATAGCCAAATGCCAATAGTTTTGGCTCTCGTTCCGCCTCAACCCGGAAGTGATGTTGCCCTCGCAATGTCGCAAGCCAACAAATAACCATGATAAATAATTAAAAGAAAATACTGTATAAGTTATGATATACTCCGTAAGTCTTTTTAGGCCGACACAACATAATCATGGAATTGGTCAAATGGATTAGTGTGACTTACTAAACAACATAATCCAACAGTAGAATGAGCAAGGAAACCAATTACTTATCCTAGTGGTATACATAATGCCGGGTCTAATAATTGTCCTGGAAAGTTATGATTTTTTCTTTCATGCCAACCTCCAATTTCTGAAATTTTATTCTTATCTTCCGGCAAAGATGACATGACTGTGATTCTACTTCGAGATGGAGCTATCATGTCTCCCCAAACCCCATCACGCCAGAAGTGACATCGTCACACCCATTCACATTAGCTGGTGTTCAGAAGTCCCGACGATAGATCCCAAAGGTATATGTATCGAAAACTCACTGGTTTCAGTCAGATTGGCATTAATGGCATATACTTTGTATATAGCAAGAATTAGAAATCTAGCTTGGAACATAATGTAGTACTCCGTACATAGCAATAGAGATATAGGAAGATATGAGCTACTTCTATTATGTAGAGCTCATAAGCATAATCACCTGATACTTTTGTGTGATCCCAAACCAGACAAGAATTAGCGGCGGATGCACCTTAAACCTATGCTGCTTTCCTTCTGTGAAACAGCATAGATCAGCTTCTACATTCTAAACATATCTTCACAAGACTGATGGCTATATACATATATACACTTTCAAAAGTATGAAATACCAAATACATAACCTCGGCTCTTAATTGTCTACTCTATTTCTCCTCTGAGTTGAATCTGTTCCAAGCTTCCTGTTCAATGGAAGGAAAAAGGTGTACGAGAGTTACATGATGTTAAGAGTAATAAATTGACAGCCTTAAATTTCCTCCAATTACATGAGAACAATTGATTAGTGGTAACTAACTAAAAAAACTTGCTCTTTAAAACCCGAAAAAGCAACACACCAGAAGGGGGAAAAAAAAATTTGACAGACATTTCATCAGATGATGACAGAACATTTATGAGTGAATGCAGACATTTCAATTAGGATTCAGCACCACGAAATTAACACTTGCAAAACTTCCGAATATTAAGGCTATGCACATCACTATCCAAGCAGGTAATCTGGACTGATATTGGCACTTGGGAAGGACCAAAGAAAAAGTTGCACTATATACAGCTAATTACTGCTTTGGCTACAATCTCAGAAGGCAACTTTAAATAGTAACAAAGTAACAAATGGTTCAAAGAGATACAAAGCACAAGGAAACACACCTTCAGGAGATCAAAAACCTTTTCACATATATACTTCTGTTGGACAGTAGCACCGCGCTGTTGTAGTTTGTCAGGATGCACGCAAAGAGTGGCTTTCCGGTAAGCTTTTTTCACTGCAGCAGCAGTTATTACTTCTGTCAGTGGAATTGGCTGCCAACCGCTATCTGGCCCAAGGATCTGCCAATGCAAAATAGAGATTTAAGTTATAACATACTTTGAGCAATATGCTTACACAGCTACATCTCAGATCTTTCACATGCTCTACCTTTTAAGAGGAGCAATCAATGAAATGAACAAGTTGCCTACAAAATAACATACTCTCAAAGCAACAAAATTTCAAAGATGCATATTAGATTACTAGGTCATGAGAAACAGGAGGAGGTCAATAAATTGACCAAATATTGTATAGTTCACACAAACATAAAATAGGTAAAAACACAGCATTACACTGTAAGCTACCTAAATAGTTTATAAATAGAAGTCAACAAATTCACATAAACATCAACCTATCAGAGCAAAAGTTTCTCAAAAGTATCATCACCAGAAATTTCTAATGGTTGATCAAGGAATTTGTCATTACTATGACTTCTGTGTATGCAAGGGAGAGATCAATTTCAACAGGTAAAACCGTAAAAGTGATTTGGTGGTAGTCTGAGACTAAAGATTGATCAAGTATAACATCATGTCTAAGCAAAATGAAGCCTCTGATGGCTTTCAAGTTCAATAATTTGATGCTGTGATTTCATCTTTTGATCAGCTAATCAAACAATTCAATACAAAGAGAAGCAAATTGACCCACAACCCAGATGGTCAGACAAGGAGCCAAAATACAACAATTGTTGAAGAACTAGGACAGCTATGCAATAGTTGACATTCTGTGTACACAAACAGTCAGCACATACAAAAGAATTCAAAGCCCGAATTTAGTCTGCTGATGTAAGAATGGTCAATTCCTAACCACGGTTCAGAAAATTGAGTAGCATACATAAAACAATGATATGACATGTATATTATATAAGCTAGTATACATACATATTGCAATGTGGATAACAAAGCTCGCAAATTGCCTTCTTTGCCACCAGACCATCTTCTGATATCGGCATCAAGTGTTTCAGCAAACCGCTGGTAGATAAAAACCAGGATAATGTAAACCATTGAAACACAATTCTTCATATATAATATATTAACTTTTCAGAAAGGGACATAAATTACTCACAGTCCTCTCTGCTTGCTCCCTTTGAGCAAGAAGATCACGCATATTTTTTTCCGCAAGTGCTTTTGCCTGAAACATTGAACAAATTTGCAGCAAACTGCTAGATAGTAATCGAGTACAAAGAAAGAATATAGAAACTTACCACCCGTTCCACCGTTCGTCTATGTCTCTCTAATCTGGCTTTGCACCTTTCGGCAGGTTCGCCATTAGCTGCTTCAAACCTCTCACTACTCTACAAATTCGATTGCAAATGCATGTGAATATGAGAGTTATGAGAAAAAAAAAAAGAACTGGCGTTCAAGAGAATGGTATATACTCACTGTGGGGAAAGAGCTCTGCCTCATGATCACATCTCTCTCCGACATATACTTTTCAGAAACAGATCTTTGCATTCGTTCTCGTGCCCCAAGAGTAGCCCTTTCAGCCATTGCTTTCTCAATGGCACGTTGTCGAGCTTCTGCATGAGCTCTCTCTACTGCAGCACGCTCTGCCCTCAATTTGGCCTCTGATGATGCCTTGTCAGCTAGTGACCTATCCCTAGCTTCTGCACATGCCTTCTCTAACCTCTCCCGGGCCTCCGTCATTGCTCTTTGTCGTGCTTCATCCGTTGCCTTTTCTAGAGCAGCCCTTTCAGCCCTGTCCCGGGCATCTGCATATGCCCTATCACGGGCTTCACGTACTGCTATTTCAACTGCCATTCTATCCTTTTCCCTTTCTCTCAA